TTAAATACTGAAAAATAACTGAATTTATTTTTACCTTGAAATGACTAAACTAAGATTTTTGCCTCAGGCAAAATAAGAACTTTGAGACAAAAATCAAAGTGAATTATATAGATAGTAAAGGAATGGACATTTGAGGAACTTCTAAAGCAAGAGCTCTGCCTTCCACTGAGGTTCTCAAACTTTAACTTTCAGAGAATGTGGCAGAACAGTTGGCCTGTAATTTGCATGAAGATAAGTGCTAGCAGTCATTGACTCCCTGGTATCATTTGCAGTTAAATCTAAAAGTGCCAGCACCATCACTAGTAATGAAGTACCAGAGAGTGAGACACACCAGGAAACAGCTCATTGCATGTACAAGAAGATTTAATGAGGCGACCTGGGAACTCATTATATACTCATTTTAATAATTTACAGACTGGGAACAAAGGTTTACCTCTACAAACAGTGATTTTAAAATTAGAGATCTTTCAACAATCTTGCCCCTGAACTTTGGATTCTGGTTAAGTAATGTCTGTTCAAGTTTTCAGATTAATATGAGCAGAGAAACACTGTTTCAATGCATTATTCTAAGTTTTCTTGAATTTAGTGAAAACTGGAAAACGTGTTCTGTTTTGTTTCTCTTATTAATATACCGTCTAAGTGACCATTCTTACTCAAGGAAATGGTATAGGCTTGCTTTCAATATGTTTTACTCAGCATTAAGCGTGTTTTCTGATCCTGTTCAGTTTAAAACATTTAAACATACCAAATTATGTTACTTAATCCTACCTTGTTTCTCAGACACTGACAGAGTTACATTATTTAGCCAGTAGGTATAACATTAAAATACACGGTATTTTTATACACGTGAGTGGAAAAATATTGGCAAATAATCCAATGTAATTATCATTTGTGATCTCATATTTTGGCTTGGGCCAAAAATCCACAACTGTGACACAATGGCATGTACTTCAAACAAGGATTGTATTTCTACAGAAAAAAAATGGAGGATAATTATTTGAAACTAAAAATTTAAAAAACGTTTCCACTACTGGCTCTGTTGTGTTACATGTTGGCAAAATCCCCCACAAAATGCATAAGGAAAAAATGTCTGCCACAAAAAACAATACATAAATACTAAGAAAAATATCAATATTCTTTATGAAAAATATATCACATTACACCGATAATGTAAGAAAGATAGAAACATGGATAATGAGAAGACTAAATAAAGAAAAACACTGAGAGGAAAGAAAGAGTTGGAAAGAATGAAATAGAGAAGAAAGGGTGGGGGAAGAAAGAAGATCTAATTTATCCTTTTGCTGTTCATTAAATTGTACTATTCAAATCTCAAGAGTTCTTTCAAAGTAGAAGTTTTTATTTTGATCTATAGTAATGTTTTAAGGGAAATGAATTTATAAAGACCACCTTTTATATAAAATAAATACAATTTGTCCGGATCATATGAGGTGGTACTTACAATTAGACTTATAAGGACAAAGATGGTAAATGGAAAGGGGAAATAACAAACTAGTAAATGCACTTTTCAATTTTGAAATTGGTCTTGAAAGTCTTCACTGCGTTGAAAAAAATGGGACAATGTCCAGTTTGGCTTCAATATCATCCTCCTCTAAGTCTTTGGTATAACCATATTTGGTATAATTATATTTTATTGTATGAGTTAGGACTACATACAAATCAACTTATAAGAAATCTGGGTGGCCTTTAAAAATATAATCATCTCTTTTCTTGCATCAGAGGAAAACTGAGGTAGACATCAGTTCTGTGGCTTTCCTCCATTAAGGTTCCTAACAGTCACAAGATGGCTTCTAGAGCATTGGCGAAACACCTGCAACCAGGGCGACAGGAAGAGGAGAATGGCAGTGCTGCCTTGCATGTTTCTTTTGCCAGAGAATCAAGAAAATTTATGAAAATTCTCCAGATCCATGGGTAGGAAGAACGGTTGGGTCAGCCAGCCAACAGTTGTCAGCAATAGTTTTTTAAGATCTGTTTTTAATTCTTTGTCCTAAGATCCTAATTATGAAGTAAATCAAGTTCAAGAGCTCCATAATAAATTATAAGAAGTTTTTATTTCAAAAGAACTAAGTATTCAAGGAAGTAGGTTAACCTGTAGGTTCCTACTTTGTAGTGTACCCAAAATGCCAATCATACCTAGTGTTGCAAACCTCTTTCTAGGAGAACTTGCTTTCCTTCAACATCTGTGTCTACCAGGAAAATATCTACTGGCAAAATAAACAGTGTTAAATTCCAACCAACTCACCTAGAAAATTAAATCAATTCCCTTGCTGATTAACAATGTTATTAGAAGATCAAAACCCAGTATTATATATGAATATACCAAGTTCTACCAGGTGGCAACTTAGAAATCCCTTTACAGAAAAGAATACTGAAATATATTTTTTTCTGGACCAAAGTAGCATCATTTTTTAAGTGGAGAATAGTGCCAAAGTGTGGCTCCCTAAGTATTTTGAATATTTATCCTCTAGTTTTATTTCATTTCTTTTTTGTGTTTTACAATATTTCCACATGACTAGCATTCTAGAAGATAACTCAGCATTGCAATCATTTTTCTTCTTCTCCACTGCCTTCACATACAGATTTCTCAGGGAGAAAGTTCATAAAATAGATTTAGAAATGTTGGAACCTATCTTCCAGGCCTAACAAGAAAGGAGCAAAGCAATTAGATCATATTTTTTTTAATTTTTTTATTGTTATGTTAATCACCATATATTACATAATTTGTTTTGGTGTAGTGTTCCATGATTCATTGTTTGTTCATAACACCCAGTGCTCCATGTAGAATGTGCCCTCCTCAATACCCATCACCAGGCTAACCCATCCCCCCACCCTCTTCCCCTCCAGAAACCTCAGTTTGTTTTTCAGAGTCCATCATCTCTCCTGGTTCGTCTCCCCGCAATTGGATCATATTAAATGCGTCTTCCAGGAAATTATTAGACAAGTTAGGTAAAACGAATTAATGACTAGTATTAGAGGTTCTCTAGTTGTCTGTAGACGAACCTTCAGGCCTCTCTCTATGACTGTCTCTGTTTCTGGCTGACTATTCTGATGGAGGCAGAGCCTGGCCAATGAGGCCTTGTTCTTCACCTTAGAGGTGTTTTGTAGAAAGAGTGAGTCCACTGAATTCAGGGTAATCCATGGGCCTCACAGGGCTGTATGCTCACACCATGTTTACGATTATCTCGATTTTTAAAGAATAGCTCATATTGAAAAAGTCATGAGTTTGTTCTTGCCTCCAGAGACAGGCAAAGGCAGAATAGCCTTTATGGCTCTGTGTCTGTGGCCAGGGAAGGTCACACACATAAACTAGGAAACTATTTTTGATAACTTGGACCAGGAAAGACCAGCTGAGCCCTCTGTAAGCTATTTAAAACCTGCTCTGGATTCTCAGGCAGCACCAGATCTTCTGATTACATGTTTACAAGCCAGTCCTTAAAGATCTGTGTGGCTCTTCACTCCACAGCCAGGACACCTAATGCTATTCACCTTTAAAGTGAAATCCAGATACTAATGGAATAATCTCCATAAATATCTGTGCATGTAGATGAGTGCAGTTAATCCTATTTTAGAGACCAGCCAATAAGCTCTTTGTCTAGTGTCATCAGGAGGATCCACATTAAATCTGAGTTCAAATCTTTCATTTTTCCAACTTAGTCAAAATGCTCAGCATAAGCTTGATGTCCTGGAAATAGTCTTTGAAGAAATATAAGATATATCCTGAGGAGCATGAGAAGGCAGTGGTTAAGTTCATATACTCCAGAATCAGACTGGCTGTGACCCTTGGCAGTTTCCTTGCTCTTCCTGTGCCTTAGTTTCCCTATTTTAAAATGGGGCTGATAGTAATAAGCACAGAATAGATTTGCTGTTAGTACAGAATGAGTTTAGTGTTTGTAAAATGGTAAGAACAACTCTCTGGAACACTGTGAATACATCACAAGTATTAGCCATCATTAGCACAGAGCAAGAGAGCATGTTCTCCAAAATTACTTATTTCCCAAAAATAATTCAAATAATTTCTCTCTAAACAAAGAAAATTGGTGTTGCCCTTCTGTGATACCAATGATCTATTTCTTTTATCTTGCTCTGGAATAAAGGTGTCCCTATCAATTGTGAAATAGTGGGTGTAAAAATTTGTAACTGCAAATATTGCAAAAGTCTGTAAGTAACTTTTATTTCTCCACAACTGAAATTAATTTTATTCTAAAGCCCTAATTTGCTTCTTTGGTGAAAAGTTCATTCTTGCCAATTCAAGGTAACTTAGTCACTTTCAGTTTAAAACTCAATCTCTTACGACTCTCAACTCTCTCTTCTCCTTTGCCCCCTTATACCCTTGTGTAAAGTTTTTTTTTTAAGATTTAAAAGGGGGCAGGTAGGGGCAGAGGGAGAGGGTGAGAGAATCTCAAGCAAACTTCATGCTGATTGCAGAGGCCGGTGCAGGGATCAATCCCATGACCCCAAGATCATGACCTGATATGAAACCAAGAGTTGGATGCTCACCCAACTGTGCCCCCCAGGCTCTCGCCCCAAGTTTTTGAGATTTTATAAGTTCCTGAGAGATTTGTCTTGTCCCTGTGGGAGAGGAAGGGTGTTCTGAACTCTCTCAGGTATGACTGCAGTTAGGGTTAAAGCTTGGGCTACTTGACCTTGGGCATTACCTCTATCTCCACTGTCTCCCATATTGTCCTCAGCTGGTGTAACATGGAGTCTGTTGCCTTAGCATGGCTAGTCCACCCTGCAGACCCTACCATAGGCTCCATCACATTAGCCCTGGGCTCCTTTCTCAGATCTTAGTTCCTAACCAAAAAGATTTGGGCATGGGGGTGAACTAGCTAGCTCATGCTCTTTTTCGCTCCAACATGCCACACCACCATCGTTATCAAAGCCACCTCTTTTTGGTGCTAGACGACATTAGTCATCTATTGCTGCATAACTCATTACCCCAACACTTAGAGGTTTAAAACAACAAATATGTATTATCTCACTTTCTGTTGGTCAGGAATTCAAGAGCAACTTAGCTGGGTGGTTGTTGATCAGGGTCTCTCATGAAGCTGCCATCAAGATGTCAGTAGGGCTGCAGTTATCTGAAAGTTTGGCTGGGGCTAGCAGACTCACTTCCAAGGTCACTCATGTCACTGTTGGCAGCAGGCCTCCGTCCTCACTGGCTATCAGCCAAAGACTTCTGTTCCTCACCAGGTAGGCTTCTCCATAGAGATTCTGAAGATTCCTCAGGACATGGCAGCCAGCTACCCCAGAGCAAGTGATCTGAGAGAGAGAACAACAATTTTATATAAAAGACTAATGCATTTTACTTGTAAAACAATGTTACGTGAGACTCAATGGTTTATGTGGCTTCTAAAGCAATTAAGGGAAGTTTGATACCTAGAATTGAAGAGATGATAATCCTGCTCTATGATTATTCTCATTTGTTATTTAAATAGCTGCCAGACATCGTGAATTCGAAGCCGTGAGACTGAATCTGCAAAAATGGGGATAACAACAACAAACTTTAAATCACAAAAATCAAATTTTGCCATATAATTATGGTACTTGAACAGGAAATTGATATGAGTGTTATTTTAAACTCAATCACACACAAAATAACATTGTTTCTATAAGGCTTTTGAGAATTTTTTTTTAATGCACACAGGAAAAAAATAGAGGTAAATATCCTAATATATCAGCCTTCTTCCAGGACTAAAATAGAAAAAAATGTTGATCGGGCAAATGGCATTACCCTCATCTTCAAAATAGTATCAGTAGAAATATTCAGGAAAACTGAAGAGAGCATTTTATTTTATTGCGATTATTTCCTCTTAATTGAAAATAATTTACAAATGCAATAGGGAAAGTACAGGAAGAAAGGACCAAATATGGATGATTCTTTTATTTAATGAAACAATCATGCAGATCAATATTAAACAGATACATGTTGTTTAAAATAATAAGAACCTGCAATAGAGGAAGTATGAATTTAGACACATTTACATAGCATCTCATTTCAGAAATAATGTATTCTAGCATTTTCACCATTATTGATTTAGCAGACATTTAATCTTTATTGGGAACGTGGACCATCCTCACAAAGCTGTGTTGTTGTTGTTTTATAGCTTCCTGCTCTGGTAGCAATTCTTCAGCTACATCAGATAAAGAAGCCTTTGATAGCAATTATAAATCAATGATTTTCATCAAAACAAAATGAAATGTAATTGAAAGAATACTGAAAGTAAATGAGACATATCCCATAGGGGAAATATTATACATAGATCACATGGAGACATGATCATTGGTATCTAAAACAAAATAGATGAATAGTTCAGATATGAAAACCCATAAAAAGATATCTGCATATTTCTCTGACGAAACGGAAAACAGCAACTGGGTTAATGACCTAAAGCAACTTAAACTACCTCTGAGGTTGTACAATGAAACTGAATAAAAGGAGATGATTTCAGACGGTATCTTTGTCAGAATTTTGGTTAAAGGGAAGGAGCACTACTCGTGAGTCATCAAACCCCATGTGTGTGTCAGGATTGTGACCGCTCGTTGCCCTAACCAGCATCTGCTTAAGGAGATTTGGTTCAAGGCAACACAAGTGATCAAATCTCATGCTAGAGAGCGTTCAGGCTATAAGCCTAGAAGACATCATCCAGCTGTGTGACAGTCCGAATGCAGCAGGTTACTGGTGTGATTTAAGAGATGTGTGGTGGGGGGTGAAGAATAGAAAGAGATGCTTGCACCAACAATTCCCTCAGCCAGTTCTGAGCTTTCTCACTTCCCCTCCCCCAAATACCTCTGTTGCTAGAGCCACTGTTCCAGGTAAATCTTTCACCTAATACGTTTTAGGGCAGTCAAAAACTAAGACTAACAAAGAAACAGGACCGGGCAGAAGATAACAAGGACACACAATCCAAACGTTAGCCAATTCTCCCTCATAACTAAGGCTAGTTTTGCCACTTTTAAAATGCAAATGTATGTCAGGTAATAATGATAATCATAAAAGCTCACCTTTATTGAATGTGTACTATGAGCTAGACACTGTACTAAGTGCTTTGCTGTCATTTATTCATTTATTCAATTACTAAGTGCCCAATACTATTCTTTGTACATGGGTTATGGTAATGAAGAAAGTAGATACGATCCAGGCTTTCCTGGATATAATGTATATACTAGAGGGGAGAAGGCAAACAAGCTGATAAACAATATGTCAACAGGTGGTAAAGGCTATGTGGAAAGTAAAAGGAAAGATGGTTAGAAAACAATGTCACTATCTCATTTAATATTCAGAGCAAACCTAAGAAGTACAAGTGAGAAAACATGAGGTTCTGAGAGCTTAAGCAACTAGACCAAAGTCACACAGTATTTTTTTGACAATGGGTTAACAAAATTCTTTAATAAAATTTTTAAAAATGACAATTTCAGAATTTTCTCGGCTTGAATGGTTTTCCTTCTCCACCCCCAAAGAAAATGCAAAATTATCAGCACCTACACACATGTACACTCAAACTATAGCCACATTCTCTACACAGGACTTCATTAGAGTTTAAATTGCTGGAAAATAAGACAATTCCAAGAAGTGATTGTAGGGATGATTTTTTTTTTTTCTTTGAAAAATAGGGGACAGACAGTGAAGCTATTTAGATAAAACTATTTTCTGTGGTTGTCAAAAGTTTCTTAAAGGCCTCATTTCAACTAAAAGCAGATCCAAATCCAAGTTCTCCCTACCTTCCCCTTGCTAAGAGTCTTTAGGGATACATTTTCTTCCTGCTCCTAAGGGAAATAATTGGATTTCCTAATATTCTCATTTTCTATGAACACTTGAAATTTGAGGCAGATGTGTCCAAATCAATGTGAACTTGACTCTTAACCATTGTGTGGCTTTTCTGGTTATTTTTATTTAATTGTGAACAGCAAAAAAGAAAGGGAGAGGCAATACTGTACCTCTTAGAATTTCTAAGAAAGGACAAATCATACCGTGGTGCCCCCACTGCCAGTCATAAAAACCTCCCAGTGCTAGCTGTAGGGTACCTAGCATTCTTTGCTTGTCCCTACATAGTCCTTACCATGCTGTATTTTCAATTCTCTATTGTCTAACCATTCCATTGGGCCATGAACTACTTGATGGAAGGGATTCTCTCACATTCATGTTTAATGTTTTTTTTTTTTTTTTTTTTTTTTATTCATGAGAGTCAGAGAGAGAGAGAGGCAGAGGGAGAAGCAGACTCCCCACCTAGCAGGGAGCCCGATGCGGGACTCGATCCCAGGACCCCGGGATCATGACCCGAGCCGAAGGCAGACGCCTAACCATCTGAGCCACCCAGGTGCCCCTCCCACATTCATGTTTATATTCACAATATCTAACACAGTCCCAAGACCAAAGTTGGATGAATAAATTATCAATTAAGTTAGAATTCGGGATAAACCATTTTTGAAGCAGACAGCCCAAGTAATCTTTGTTCCAGGTGTTCTTTCCTACAGCCCAGAATACTCAGAGAGCATAGGTTGAGAGCTCTGACAGCAGAGTCAGAAATCTAAGGTTAGATTCTCAGTCACGGAACTTGTTAGTTGTATGCCCATGGCCCTTTACTCAGCTTCTCCAAGCCTCAGTTTCTTTATCTGCAAAATAAAGATAATAAAAGCACCTATATTTTTGCTGATGTATTAGATATGATAATTTATGTTAATTCTTAGCAATAAACCTAATATTTTGTAATTGCTTCATACATCTTAGCTATTATTATTATTATTGGTACTTGATACAAGCTTATAATTAGAGCTTCTTGCCCTAACTAGTTTAAGTCAAGAACTTTTTAACCAATAATTCTCCATCATAAAGGCATGGTTACCCACTCATTTTTTCTGTTGAAATCCTCCTTATCCTTTGAGGCACTGAAGACCAAACAGTTCTTGCAGACCCTAAGGTGAGAAGGCTAAAATGGAAATTATAAGTTAGTAGGTTGACCTTTTGGGGTAGGAATTCTCAGAGCACTGCTTAAGAAGGTGCCTATTCTACTTGCTATATGATTAAGAAGGAATACAGGGTGCTAATTCAAGAGTGATCCATTCATGCGTTTCAAACGTCTATGCATGACTAGCTGCATAACTGTTCAGAAGCAGAGTTAAATCCTAGGACACAGTTTCCCTGGGGGTGTGTTTGCTCTGTCTTGTGCTCTGAGGAATTCAGTAGCCCTAGTTTATCTTTGATGGCATCAACGTATTGTCCTCTCATAAAAATATAAAAATTTTCAGCATGATGAAATTAAAATGACATCATATGGTTCAGACACTTTAATAGCTTCACTGAGTTCAGTTTTTAAAGTGTTTATGTTTCTGTTATGTTTATGAGGTGTTTTTGTTCTCTTTCTAATGCAGTATACAAATAATCTCATCCTTAGAGTTTCCTCCCTTCTCATTTACTGTTCATGTCCAATAATGATATTGATGCTGGTTGCCCCTGGATACCCTTACTTCTACACATTGTCCTTCTACAGTTTTCTGCAAAATCACTGTGTATAAAGAATTTTGAAACAAAACAAAGTAGTTTCAAAATTGTGTCTCCACGACATTTGACTAGCTGAAACAAAACAAAACAAAACAAAAACCCAGACAATGAAACAGGTGCCATCTAATATTGTGTTCTTAACAAAAATGATGAGAAGGAAAGAAACCACAAGATGCTGAAGCAAAATTGGGCAAACCCGTGTGGTAAGGCTCCTAACCCTCCTGTACTGACCATTTCCTATTCATCTCATTAGTAAAGGAGGGATCCTTCACCCTAAATAGTGTGAGATGGCTGAACACATGACACCAAACACTGGAGAGATAAGAATGATAGCTATTCATTAGTCATGTAACTCACGCCCCAGGGGAGGAGGACACCATATGCCCTGCAGGGTCACATGGGGATTACGCTCAGGAGCAGAGTGAGCCAACAAGAGCTATGGAAGTCAGGCTTTGTAGTAACAAGTGGATGAGGTGCCTTCGGCTTCACACTGGAGGATGTGATTGGCTTGTTTGAAAAATTTTGCAGACTAACATGGAAGTAAAATTCATTAGGTTGATGAGTAGGTGTGGTGCAGCGGGTCCAGCTGAGAGGGGAACTAGCCGTCTTACCCCTCTATACTACTGAGTCCACAAATCCCTGAGAATTCTCTGTAATATTCCAATACTTAGCTTTTGGAATAAAGTTAAGTGAGTCATCTTATTTTGTCGTAGAAATGAGTGATGGGAGAAACTGGTTCAATGGGGACACTAACCAAGATGAG